CTCTAGCCATGAAGGAACCAACAGCCGCCACCTCAGTATGACCTCGTGTTAAACCTGGGCATCTCTGGGCCCTTGGCTTCTTGTCTCTTGAACATTTTTAAATAGAAATAAATTATGGTTTAAAATAAACAGCCCGATCACCACTCGCTCCAGCCAACAGGCCGTCCCTACACACCACACCTTTGCTTGCCTTCCTCTGGGGCAGCCGTCCTTCTTTACCTAATACGTTTCCTCCGAGCTGGGCCACAGCGGTGCAGGACAAAGGGCCAGGCTCTCTTTATGGCTTTGGACAAGCCAGTGAACCTGCCAGGGCTGTTTCACCTGCTTTAACACGGGCGGTCATCCTGCTCTGCTGTCCCCGCCCAGCTGTTGAGAGGCTCTGAGGGGAGAAGTGGGCAATAATTTGTCCACTTGTGAATATTTTTGCTTCCCTGTCTAATCTAATAACTTGGAAGTTTTGAATAAACACTCATCCAAAATAATTTCTTGTGGTTTTCATTTATATATGCAATCCTGAGCCTGTAGATCCAAAAGCAGTCAACTTTCTTCCAGAAAACAAAGTCACAGGTGTGGATGGCCACTAAATTACTGAGCTATCTATAGAGTTGCCTGTGTTAATAGTGATCTGAGTAAAAGAGTGGAAGCCCTGTCTTCGTTTGGAAGTTTATCTCCTTGAGGCAGAGGTGGAGAGTAATCCATAAACTGCAGTCCAGATTCCATTTCCACAGATTTAACCAACCCAGATGGGAAATATTTGAAGACAGAAAAAGTTAAGTTGTTGCCGACATCTCCTACATAGGTAGGCCAGTGATGGCTGCATCTGTACAAAACACACACTGACTTTGTCATTTTCTCCTAAATAATACAGCACAACTATTTACATAGCACTTACATGGTATCAGGTATTAAGTAATACAGAAATGATTGAAAGTATATGGAAGGATATGCAGATACTATGCCATTTTATATAAGCGACTTGGACATCACAGATTTTGGTATCCTCAGAGGTCCTGGAATTATTCCCACGGATACCAAGGGATGGCTATATTCAAATAAAATAATTTCTCTTACCCCAAAGAGAACTGGAGCCCTAATCCCACCCTTTCTCAATCCCAGTTAAGAGCACCTAACAGCAACTTGGCAGCAAAACCATCACAAAATGGTACACCTTCAAACGATGCAGTCAGGCAACCGGACATAGAGACCTACAGAGCTGAGAGCAAAACCCTTTCCGTTTTCTTTCATAAAGATTTGCACGGTCCTGGGATTCCTGAAAGTCAAAAAAATTTTTTAAGTAGCTTATGATGCTCAGGGTGGGACCAGGGCTCCAGTTCTCTTTGGGGTAAGAGAGGTTATTTTATTTGAATACTCGAGGCCCAATGCATGAAATTCATGCAAGGGGCTCGGCCCCCACCTGCCGCAGCTTTGTCTGGAAGGACATCCGGATGGACGTCTGGTCTAATTAGCATATTACGCTTTTTTTTTATTATAGTCATCCCTTGGTATCCGTGGGGGAATGATTGCTGTTAACGATTTGCTTGGATGCTTGTTCAGTCATTTCTGTTTGCAGGTGTGACCTCCCCTACCTCTCGCCCTTCCAGCTTGCTATGTGAGCATCACGATTTTATAACCTGAATGAGTGGAAGCTAACTGCTGCTGCATAACCAAAGCTTTGAAAGGCCAGAGCAGACGTGTATATACGTTCCTCTCGGATGTCAGAGTTTTTGTGTGCTCGTCTCCTCTCTGCCCTAATTAAATTCCAAGGGAAGCTATTTCTCTCTCCTGGGACCATTGCCTCCTGGCTGACAGAAGCCTTCTCCCTTCAGGGGAGAGGGTGGACGGGGTCATGTCTTGACCTATCTCCATGCCTCAAGGAGAACTAGAAGGATAAAATAACATCCCTGGTTTAGTTCATGAAAGGAATACTGTTCTCTGAAAAGTTCTGGCTTTAGAAAAATCTGTTGAAATACTTTCAAGTTATAGAATCATTACAATTTTTTGAGTGTGCCTTTAGTTAAGTGCTTAGTTATATTCAAGGACTTCACATCTATTACCAGCTGAAAATTTAATAATTATAGCAATTAAGTGTTCATTGTCACAGTTCTTACCTTTATCTATATAATAAAGTCTTATTAATTATCAAATAAAAATTGATATAAAAGGTCTTAACACACATGTCTGATTTGAAGATCTTTAAAAAACTGTAAATTTATCTAATTAAATGTACTGGGGGCAACATTGGTTAATAACACAATTCTATAATACACTATCTGTATATTGCACTGTATGTTCACCACCCAGAGTCTAGTCTCTTTCCGTGGCCATAAATTTGACCACTTTACTTTCTTCATTCTCCCCTCACCCCATCCACCCCTGTGCCCCTCTGGTAAACACCATACTGTTGTCTGTGTCTGTGCGCTTGTTTGTCTGTTTGCTATGGCTTTCTGCTTTATATATCCCACATATAAGTGAAATCATGTGAAATCGTATGGTTCTTATCCTTTTTCATCTTATTTCACTCAGCATCATACTCTCAAGATCCATCCACGTTGTCACAAATGGCAATATTTCATTTTTCACAGACCAATGGAATATACTTGAGAGCCCAGAAATAAACCCACACACACACGGGAAACTAATTTTTGACAAAGAAGCAAAAAAACATACAATGGAGAAAGGAAAACCTCTTCAATAAATGTTGGAAAAACGGGAATGTAACTAGCCTGCTATGTGATAGCATACGCAAAAATGAACTCAGCATAGTTTAAAGACAACAGTAAAATATATAGAAAAAAAACATAGGCACTAAATGTATGGACCTTGGTCTCAGAGTGGTTTTCGTGAACTTAACCCCAAACACAAGGAAAGTAAAAGCAAAAATAAATGAATGGGACTACATCAAGCTAAAAAGCTTCTGTAAAGCAAAAAGCAAACAAACCTGACAACAAAACCAAAAGGCAAACAATGCCTCTGATAAGGGGGTCAATATCCAAAATATACAAAGAACTTACACAGCTCAACAAAAACCAAGCCATCCAATTTACAAATGGGCGGGCCTGCACAGGCGCTTCCCCAGGAGGGCGTCCAGAGGGTCAGCAGACACATGAAAAGATGCCCAGCCTCACCTGCTCTAGGGACACGCGAATGACCACCACAGTGAGAGGCCACCTCACGCCCGCTGGAATGGCTGTTCGCCTTACAACGAGAAGTGAGTGCTGAAGAGGGTGTGAAGAAAGGGAACCCACTTACACTTCGAATAGGAATGTAAATTGGTTCAGCCACTCTGGAGGTTCCTCAAAAAACTAGGAATAGCGCTACCATATGACCCAGCAATCCCTCTTCTGAGTATCAACCCGAAAAATTTGAAAACACTTATAAAGATCTACATATGGGGGGGGAGCAGCTGGGGAGAGGTCAATGGGGGGGAGACATCTGTAATATTTTCAACAATAAAGAATTTAAATTAAAAAAAATCTATGTAGCCCTATGTTCTTCGCAGCATTATTCACAGCAGCCAAGACATGGAAGCAACTGAAGTGTCCTTAGCAGGTGGTTGGATAAAGACGTGGTACATGCATGAGAAATGATGAAATATAAATGATTCAGTAAACATTTACAAAATGTCAGAAGGCAGAGCTATCTGACTCGCTTTAAATATATGTTAAGAAAAAAGTTGCCCTAACCGGTTTGGCTCAGTGGATAGAGCGTCAGCCTGCGGACTGGAGGGTCCCGGGTTCGATTCCGGTCAAGGGCATGAACCTTGGTTGCAGGCACATCCCCAGTAGGAGGTGTGCAGGAGGCAGCTGATCGATGTTTCTCTGTCATCGATGTTTCTAACTCTCTATCTCTCTCCCTCGCTGTAAAAAATCAATAAAATATACTTTAAAAAAAAGAGAAAAAAGTTTTTAACACATGTTTTTGCAAATAAATACAGAAGGGACATGAACAGGACCTAAACCAGTGTTCCCAGCCCGGTGTCTTTGTGGCATTGTTTGTACTAATCATTTGCTTACTGCACACTTCAGACTTCACTCTATGTCCACATGTTTAATCATAGTCAGCCGCACAGAAGCAAGCCTTGGTCTGAAAGGAAAAAGTACCCAGATTCGCGTCCATATTGTGCCACTTACAAGTTGACTTAAACATGTGACATGCTCCCCCGCCTCTCCGTTCCTTCTTGTTGAGTAACTCGGCACCATTAGCATTACAGCTGGGGGTGTTTATGCGTCTGAAGTGGTGGGGTCTAATCATTTAACAAACAGCAAATGAAAAGCATTTGTGAGCCACATCATTTACTCGTCAGAGAAACTTCTACCTGTGGGAGGTAGACCCGACATTGAATTTTCTAAAAGGCACACGTTAAAGAAAAGGTCTTTCCACCAGGAGAGGTGATTGCCAGAAATTAGACCCGGAGAACGCCCAGCCGCTCATTTTGCATGTGTTGCTCTTTAGTCTTTCTGAGTGGTAACTTTTTAAAAAAATATTTTATTTCAGAGAGGGAAGAAGAGGGAGAGAGAGATAGAAACATTAATAATGAGAGAGAATGATGGATCGGCTGTCTCCTGCACGCTCTCTCCTGGGGACCGAGCCCACAACCCGGGCACGTGCCCTGACCGAGAATGGAACCTTGACCTCCTGGTTCACAGGTGGACACTCAACCACTGAGCCACACCAGCCGGGCCTGAGAGATGTCTTTGATTAAAGCAGGGGTCCTCAAACTACGGCCCGCCGAAAACATTTATCCGGCCCGCAGGGTGTTTTTGCCGCCACTGTGTGCATAGGAATTTGTTCATAGTTTTTTTTTTTTAAACTATAGTCTGGCCCTCCAACAGTCTGAGGGACAGTGAACTGGCCCCGTTTAAAAAGTTTGAGGGCCCCTGGATTAAAGGTATCAGCAGCTTCTCCTGAAGGAGTACATGAATTAAGTCAACAACGAATTATGCTTATGTTCAAAGTACCAGAATGAAAGCTGTGTTCTGATTCTGTGACCATTTCTCTAGGGCCCACGGATCTCAGCATGAAGAGGCAGCTGGCGCCCAGCTCCGGGTCCTCCAGCAGCTCCAGCTCCAGGCCCCAGCTGAGTCCCACCGAGATCAACGCGGTGAGGCAGCTGGTGGCCGGGTACCGAGAATCAGCTGCATTTTTACTGCGTTCAGCGGATGAACTGGAAAATCTTATTTTACAGCAGAACTGACTCGGAAGGCGATCCTCGTCACCGAGGTCTCCGTTTGCACTAATGACATTCTGACTTCCCAGCAGAGAGGGCCCTCCTGCACAGTCTTAAGGGAAACACTTCCATTCTGCCACGTTGTCCTGGGTCTACAGTGTGATGTGTTCAGGTGCTTCAAAGGAACTCTGGCCTCTGAAGCACTTGAGATGCTGTGTGTCCGGCCTGCTGCTTTTTGTTTTCGTGTCAGCATAACTGTCTGGGCCCAAAAAAAAAAGGCTGTAGATTCCTACTTCAAGGATAAAATGGAAGAAGCTTGTGGTATAAAGAATAGCTCCAGATCCAACTGAAATATTAGAGGAATTTGCTACTGACTTATTGGACTGAAAGCTGCAGGATCTGGCAAAGAAGAAAACACAAAGCCAAAATTTCTTGTTACAGGTTATCACAATGAAAAGGATCTTGTATTTTAAAAAAATATATATATATGTAATTTTTATAAAAAGGAAACTTGTTTTTCATTCAAAATGGTCATTTTTACTTTGGTAACTTTTTCATAGGTCCTAAAAGAAAACTGTTTTGAGAAACTACTGTAAGTACCTTTTCCACATCCCTTTGCCTTCTCCTCTTTCCAAATTCTTTCTACAAAAATAACACTTGATGCTGGAAAAAAAAAACAGCCCTTGCCTATGTTCTTTACATCGTCATATCAGGAAGTACTTCCAGGAGAAGCCCGCACTCACGCTGACCCCAGGCAACACTGCAGCTTTGCTGTAGAGGTTTTCATCACAGTTTAATATTTCAAAAGACATATCGTTGGGGGGAGCGGGGGTCACACCTTGGTTTCCTGCAGCTCACCCCACACAGCCGCTGCTGTCTGACAGGCATCCCTCCAGCAGCAACTGGATGTAGATGTCAATGTTAGGAGGTTGCAAGTGACAATCTGAAAATTTGCACTCATGTGTAGTTTAATTTTCATTTCTCCATTTCAGACATAGTTTCCAAAAAGACCATTGCCTCTCCTGATATGACATGTATGATTTACAGTCCTGGGTCAACATGGTGTAAGGGACTCTTGGTGGCTGCAGCGGCAACTTAAATGACCGGCCCCTCCTCGGCCCCATCCTCTGCCCTTCTTTGATTTTGTCGCGTTGGGTACACATGAAGGGTGTTTTCTTTGTGCACTGAGGCGAGCCTGTTTTTAAGCTATGTAGGGAGTACATCAGTTAATGCTTCTCTTACAGTTTTTCTGTTGTTTCGCTTTGGTTGGATTAAAAGTTCTTTGCGCATTCCTGAACTCTGCCTTATTTTTATGTAAAATTTATGTCATTCAGTTTTTGATACGTTTAGGCATCAGTGAAATTTCTTATCTACTTGTTATAGTTTTTCAAGTAATGACTGTGATTGTGACCAAGTAATGTGCACTTTTTCTTGTAACTGTGGACATTGCTATGCTTTTTTCTTCTAGTGTTTCTAGAACGACTGTTCCTTACAAGTTATGTAAACAAAAAACAAAAACAAACAAAAAATTTTGTGATACTGTTGGTGAACATAATGTGAAAAATCTTATTGAAATATGAGTATTTTGGAAATACATAGATGCACAAACATCTTTTAAGATGTGGATTTAGAGTTTGCTTATTTAAATGAAAATTCAAAAATTGAGGGCTGGTATAATTTTGTTTTGTTGGGTTTAATAAACAGATTTCTGTGTTAAAACAATGATTGCGAAACCTTATAAACTTTCTGAACAGCATCATTATTAACTTTTAGCAGTTTTTAAAGCAGCAAATGATATTGTGTGCCTACATTTACCACAAAATTGATAACCCATACTTGTACTCAGAAACAGCCTAAGGTGCCAGCGTCTCCACAGCCAGTCTAATAATTTATTCCAACAAGGGGAAAGCAAACTAGCAAAATCAAGGATGTTTTATTTGATTATTTAAATCTGATTTAAGAATTTATTCTTTTGTTGTTAACCCTCACCAGAAGATATTTTTTCCATTGATTTTTTTTTTTAGAGGGAGGGGGAGATGGTGGGGGGATAGAGAGAGAGACGTCAATGTGAGAGAGACACATTGCTTGGTTGCCTCCTGCACAACGGGGCCTGGCATCGAACCTGCAACCCAGGTTCATGCCCTTGACCAGGAATCGAACCCGAGACCCTTCACTGCCTGTGCCAATGCTCTAACCACCCGGCAACACTGGCCAGGGCATGAATTTATCTTTTATGCCTCATTTTTACATGAGTAACTGGCTCTTCAGGTCACTCATATTTAACTCGGAAGGAACACAGACCTGCTTTATGCTTTGGGTTTTGTGGGAATAGTATCGGAGGCTTTGATATGATTGCTATGTAGCCAAGTAAGGCTCGGGCTGGAGTTCAGCATGTACATCAGAGGTCTGAATGAAGCCAATGGCGTGGAGAAGGTAAGTTGCAGCGAGGTGCTATTGTTTTGTGAAATGTGCATCTTCAATTATAACTTTCACGACCCCGTCCACCAAGGGCTAAATCCCCCACTGTCTTCACTCTTTGCACATCTACCTAAAGGGCTGAGGTGCCCGGGTCCCACTCCCCCCCAACCCCCAGTTCCCCTGGGAGAGCTCGGAGCCCATGTGAAGGGCCAGTTTGTCTTCCTCTTCCTTGGTGACCGGTACCTGACAACAGCCTGATCCTCCCAGATGCTCTATCACAGGAGGAGAGAGACTGTACCCGTTACAAAGCGTCGGAGACACTGGCTGCAGGCTCCTGGTGCCATTGAAGTAAGCGACAGAATGCCCACTAACGGGGACGCAAGGGCTGCCGCTCCTGCCGTTAGCCTGGACACCGGAGGTATCTGTCACACAGGAGTTACTTCATCATGACAAGGAAACACGCCTCGAAATAGCCCCAGAGGATACAAACACAAGCAGTTCCTGAATGCCCTCCAGGTTCGACATCTCAGTACCAGGGCTCAGTAATAAAGGCGCTCAGATGCAAGGATACCCACCCTTTCCCGATTCCCGCACTGGGAGAGGCATGTCTCTTCCTGGACTTCTCACAGGAGCCCCAGGGGGCAGGCAGTCACAGTCCACCTCCCACGGCGGCTCGAGAGGTTATGGGACTTGCCGGGAGCACAGACACCGAGCTGGAGCCACCCCGGACCCCAGCTCCCCGAGGCCCAGCCCTCCCATCCCTGCATTGGCTGCCCCCCACTTAAGTAATGACATCCCGCCCTCGCCCCAGAGCCAGGCCTTTACACTAACAGCCGTTTTATTTATGTCACTAAGTAATATTTTTAAAAATGCACTTGACATCCAGTGAGATGACGAAACAAGTTTTATCCTGCTTAGAGAGGGTTAATTTCCTTTACATTTTGCTCTCTACACATATAAAGAGCAACAATAAAAACCACCCCTGATGAAAATCCAATGCACAGAGCGTGGGGAGAAGGCGGGCCTCTAAGGATGATGGGTGCCCTGCTGCCTCCACTATGACCAGTAAAGGGTCATCCAGCCGACCCAGAGGGAAGTTCAAGCACCGGGACTTAGGTCTTAGACACTATGCAGGTGCTAACCGGCTACTGAAATTAACCCTGACGCCATTAATGCAAATAGCATTCAAAGACTAATCGTGGCATGATAGGAATTCTAACTCCTCCCCTTTCTTGAAAACAATATTTTTTGAAAGGAGCTACAGTGCTGTTGGTAGAATAAATAACCTTTCTTCAGGTAGATGGGCAATCATATTTAACTTTTCACTTTCTGATTACAAAAGAAACATGGGAAATGCAGAAAAGGAAAAAACCAATCCCAGCATCCACAGAGAACCACGAAGAACTTATCCTTCAGCTTTCATCTAAACAGGTCTGGACTTTATTTTATTGCAGATGGTGTTTCCTCGCCTGCCTTGCTAACCTGGCAATAGGCCGCGAATATTTTCCCCTCATTAGGCATCTTAGTCTTATTTTAATGACGGTGGAGCATTCCATTGTCTGATGCAGCTGGGTTAGTTTCCCATTGCCGCTGTAACACATCACCCCAGACCACATGGGTTTCCTGCACCCCCGTGGGTGGGAAGCCTAGTGGGTGGCAGGGTTGTGTTCCTCTCCTCTCGGAGGCCTAGTGGGAACCCATTCCCTTGCCTACTCTCGCCCCTTAAGTCCCCTCCTTGAGTACACTGGCCCCACATGGATTTAAGAAAAAAAGACAATCTCTTTAAGGCCAGCTAATTAGCAGCCTTAATTCCACCTACAAACTTTGTAAGTTGATCTGTACCCAAACATTGGCAGGTTCTGATGACTAGGATGTGGCCATCTCAGGGGACAAGGTGGGGGGGGAGGGCATTGTTCTGCCTAAGACAGTACCTTCATTTCCTTCTTTTGTGAAGAAAGACTTCTCTGGACCCGCCCAGTCACCTGTGCCCATTCCCCTGCACTAAGGACCCTCAGGCAGCAGCACAAACATTTTAGAAGTTAATTGTCCGCTGCTGTACCCAGTTTTCCTTCTGTATAAAGGATATGCTTCTCTTGGAAATTATTTTAATGGCATTTTTCTCAAATGCCTCACATTTGAATTAAATGGATAAAACAAATAAATATGGTACAAGTGCAGCTAAATCTTTCAGGGGTAATAACACAAATGTGTCTGGATCCTCTCCTCCACCACTTTGATTTAGAAGGGGGTTCTCCCCAAGGAATTGCAGAGAGAAGGTTGAGGAGGCTCCAAACTGCAGCTCGCGAGCCACATGCGGCTCTTTGGCCTCTTGAGTGTGGCTCTCCACAAAATACCGACTTCTGCGCATGGGCCACGAAGTTTCAATCGCACTGTACATGCGCGCCCGCACGTGGTATTTTGTGGAAGAGCCACACTCAAGGGGCCAAAGAGCCGCATGTGGCTCGCGAGCTGCAGTTTGCCGACCACTGCAGGTTAGGTGGCGATGGGTGGCCTGATCTGCAAGCAATCCAACCACATGCCTAACACTCCCTCTGGCAATTGCCAGCAGCGTTGTATTTACTCTGAACAATTAAAAGATACACTTCACATTAGATGTTATGAGATGACACGTCTTTTAAAAGGAAGGATCTGGGAATAACATCTACTGAATTTAGGAAAATTAATCTAAAAATTAAACCTCTTTGCTTCACTTTCTTTTCTAGATACTTTATTTACATATTAAAATTTCATTTCCTCTTGTTTACTTTGTTCCTTTTTCCTTTCAAAGGCAAAGAAGATCAAAGATAATTCATGACCATTTTTAATGCTACGAGAAAGAAAACAATACAACAAAAGCATAGAGCACAGAGAGCAAATGCTATTACACGTGTGGGATTGGCGCCTTTTTTCCCCTTGACTTTTTTTTAATATGTTTTTATTGATTTCAGAGAGAGGAAGAGAGAAGGAGAGAGAGAAACATCAATGAT